TTCGAATTCTATCCAACAATCATTTGTGTAATCTGTATACAATCAACCGGCTCCAAAGTATGAGGAAGATCCCAACAATTGCCAGGTCAGGTTATTGGGTCTGGCGGTTAGATTGACTTTCTCATTGCCTATGATGTCTTTGTAGCCCTATTGTGTTTATACATTACAGAAGAGTTTTACAAGCTTAATCAGCGTAGGCACTTCGTTAACGTATTGTGCTCTGGCGGGCAAAGTGAAAGTTCAGTCCCCGGTTCTTCAACAAAATGTTCCGTCTTAAAAAAAGTTCGTTGGCCCATGAGTATCTGTCCAGTATCAGAGTTTTACATGGTGTAACTATTCTTGTTTCAGGTCCGGTATCGATCCAATCTTTCGTTTGAATCAGTGACAACAACCCTAGGTGGAGTTGTCCATATTCTCCCACATTTATTTAGACAACATGTTCTGATATCTGACCTTTCTGTAGAGCATTTAAATTAGATTTCTTGTTAATTCCTGTTTGTTAGAATTGGTCTAATAGCCCCCTTATAGATTCATCATAACCGTAAATCGATGAGCTTGTAGCGATACTTTGCAGATGACAATACATCCACATCTGTAGTAAATGTTTATTTATGATCGCAGGATGTCCACGGGGCGTGATTCTACCTCTTTCTTGTCTAGAGCTTGACAGTATCTCTAATCACTGCTCACATCAACTTATCAGACTCCCCGCTCCTCCGTCTTTCTATGACAGAATTTAAGCTTGAGTTACCGCCTGTCTCTGAAGTATTCGTCGAGGTGGTTTTTCTTTGGCGATTCTTAAACTCATATCAGTTTTTACCTGTTGGTTGCAAGCTTGTAGCGGTACTTTTGATAGGCTAGAATAGTAGAAATGCCTTTGAATGCATGTCTAATCTGCCCTGCTATCCTTTTTAAGTGACTTTTACAACTTTTGACCTCGGACTCCCAGAGATTACTCATGTGGGGTCTTGGGGCAGGTACAAAATGCCTTTTTTTAACCTTTATTGAATAACGGCATCTTCAGCGACAATCTTTATAAAATTACACCGAAGTTGTCGATCATAACGTACAAAGTTTTTTCCTTTGCCTGAGCACATTTGGAGAGGACATCCACTATAGCTATAAATCGAGATAGTGTGGCCATGAAGGCCGATGTTCGTTTACAGGTTCTGTATGGATATATTTGTTATAAAAACGAATGCGATAACGAAATGGGTGGAATATATATCACAAAGAAAAACGACTACGGAAGGGAGTCGGCCAGCTTTGACACCCAATGATCCTCATATCCGACAAATGATTTCAGAAAAATCGTACTACATAATAAATTATAAGTTTGTAGTAATAAACACAATCTGCCATAAATACTGCGACCTCAGAATCGACAGGATATAGTCCTGTTTATTCAACTGAATACTACCTTATACAATGAACGACGGGGCTGCTTTTGGAATAAGATACACCCCCCAAAACCCAGAGGAGCCATTACGCCACTTACAAAAAGTTTTTAAAATAGTCCGGAACCAACTTAGTCTAGCTACAGATAATTGTAAACTTCGTGGATGAACCTTAAAACCAGAAGTAGGAAAAGTATTGGTAAAGCAGCACCCACAATCCAAAGCAAATCAAAAAGTTACAGTTGAGCTTGCTTCAAAATACGATAAGCCATTGGAAGTTATCGTTCGACCTGTGTCGCTCAAACCATTTGTTGCTAATTAACTCAGATATGCCAAGTGTACTAAATGTAGTAAGGCTGTTATGTCAAAAATTCTGTGTTTACGGTTTGTACATTTTTTACGAGGTATGGCCTGCGGCCTAACACTATTCGAGGCTGAACGAGGTCACACGGGCGCTGAAAATCCTCAGAGCCGATGCATCATCGAGCGACGAGCCTTGTACGTCGCCAAGACCTGCGAGAGAAGGTTTTAGGTATTGATACCCCCTCAACTGTAGTATTGCCGCAGTCGAACCGGAGAATATGGCGCTGACAATTGAGTGGTTTGTGTCGAGTTTAGTCTCTGCTAAACCTAATGGGCTATCATTTTCTTTTCGATTGACAACATCCTCGTGGGTATTTCAGAAGTGGCGTCTCCCTCCTACGTGTGTGAAATTTGTGAATGGGTCCTAGAACTATCGGCTGATCAGGAAGTTGTGGAAGGCGTAGAGGGAAAATCTATATTGAAGAGTGTTGAGACCGTGACGAATAAGTCGGATGAAATGGTACAGTTCGTATCATTGGGGAGAGGCGAATTATATGCCTTCGAGTAGCTTAATCACATTGAATGAAGGCAGTATTCAACAAGCTCTTATTCTATCATCGTAGGTTTGGGTCACTTAAGGGGACCCCAATTCTCGTTTCATACTGACGCAATAAATCATATATATTTTTAAGAGTTGTTGATATTTTTTTTGACACCCAATGATCCTCATATCCGACAAATGATTTCAGAAAAATCGTACTACATAATAAATTATAAGTTTGTAGTAATAAACACAATCTGCCATAAATACTGCGACCTCAGAATCGACAGGATATAGTCCTGTTTATTCAACTGAATACTACCTTATACAATGAACGACGGGGCTGCTTTTGGAATAAGATACACCCCCCAAAACCCAGAGGAGCCATTACGCCACTTACAAAAAGTTTTTAAAATAGTCCGGAACCAACTTAGTCTAGCTACAGATAATTGTAAGCTTCGTGGATGAACCTTAAAACCAGAAGTAGGAAAAGTATTGGTAAAGCAGCACCCACAATCCAAAGCAAATCAAAAAGTTACAGTTGAGCTGGCTTCAAAATACGATAAGTTATCGTTCGACCTGTGTGGCTCAAACCATTTGTTGCTAATTAACCCAGATATGCAAAGTGTACTACATGTAGTAAGGCTGTTATGTCAAAAATTCTGTGTTTACGGTTTGTACATTTTTTACGAGGTATGGTCTGCGGCCTAACACTATTCGAGGCTGAACGAGGTCACCCGGGCGCTGAAAATCCTCAGAGCCGATGCATCATCGAGCGACGAGCCTTGTACGTCGCCAAGACCTGCGAGAGAAGGTTTACCAATACCTAATACCCCCTCAACTGTAGTATTGCCGCAGTCGAACCGGAGAATATGGCGCTGACAATTGAGTGGTTTGTGTCGAGTTTAGTCTCTGCTAAACCTAATGGGCTATCATTTTCTTTTCGATTGACAACATCCTCGTGGGTATTTCAGAAGTGGCGTCTCCCTCCTACGTGTGTGAAATTTGTGAATGGGTCCTAGAACAATGGACCACCAGACCATCGGCTGATCAGGAAGTTGTGGATGGCGTAGATGGAAAATCTATATTGAAGAGTGTTGAGACCGTGACGAATAAGTCGGATGAAAAGGTACAGTTCGTATCATTGGGGAGATGCGAATTCTTAGGTCCTGTTTGGGCTTAATGCCAATGTAAGGAAAGATGGAATCTAGCGACTACTTGCTAATAGAACAGTATACGATTCCATCGACTTCAGTCGTATAGATAATTTTCTAATTGTCGGGCCAATTATATGCCTTCGAGTAGCTTAATCACATTGAATGAAGGCAGTATTCAACAAGCTCTTATTCTATCATCGGTTTGGGTCACTTAAGGGGACCCCAATTCTCGTTTCATGCTGACGCAATAAATCGTCTATATTTTTAAGAGTTGTTGATATTTTTTATTAAAATTTCAAAGGGACATTCTTGAATTAGTGTATGTTCGAACAATATAAATAAAGAACAAAATTCAATTTTTGAAACCAAGAATGGGGTCCCCTTAATTTAGGTAGCGGGTAAATAATCCCTGTTTATAATTATTTATTAACCCCTGTTATTAAATATAATAAATTTAGTTCTAAGTTTGGTAGTTTGTAAGATGAAAAATAAAGACGAGAAGCGCTCCACCATAACGTGGTGTGTATGTTTAATTTGTCATTCCATTTGCAACACATCAAAATATTAAAGTATATATATTCTATATATATTCTTGCTCAGAATAAAATCTATGTCGATTTAAGCTTTCTTTTGAAATCACTATAAAGATCGCAATATTTGAGATAAATATTTGAAATTTTGCGCTTTCATTGTCATTATTTCTAGAATGGTTGGAGTAAAAATATAGAATGCAAATTTAGGCACATTTTTTACACAAAAGTCGGGGTCCATTTGACCCTTTAAATATTGACCGATTTTTAACAAAACAGTCGTGCTTATTCTTTGGCCCGATCCCCTTCTCAATGTAAAATTCCGCGATGTTCAGCCCTCCAGAGCGACCAGAAAAACCGAAATTAAGTATTTGGTCCATTTCATCCCCTAAATATTAACTGATCTTTATCAAAAGTCATATGGGTCTTCAGTTGCCAGAATCGGTTCTACATGTAAAATCACGTGCAGATTGGTCAAGATTGGTGTTTAAAGTTATAATGGACAGACGGACGGACACACATGTCTAGATAGACTTAACTAGTCGAGATATGACGATCTGTATATTAGTCTAGGACCAATATTTCGCTGCGTTACAAACTCTTGGGCCTGCACAAAGCTATATTAACCTGACAATATAGTATGTAGGGTATAATGATTATTATATGTCCATGTGTTGAGGTTAGCCCCACTTGGTCAGTATTTTTAAGGTTTTTGCTTGATTTCCTCATTGGGGAATGAAACAAATGTTGTGTGGAAAATTGTATATGTAGGTCCAAGTTTTGAAATAATACCCACATAAAAGTTCTACCCACCGTATTCTGTACTACCACTTAACACAATAACACAGTCCCCATATAAATGTCGCGATCGACTTAAGGAATTAAACGACGTTTTTATTTGTCGTATTATTTATTAGACCTACACTTCGTATTAAGAAGTGTAGGTCTATGTTTGTATTAGTGAGGTCATCTTACAAAAATAAGAAATATACTAAATTTTGGAATAAAATAATTGTTACTTTGTAAGTTAAATCACTCTTTTAAATGAATTGATGGACAATATAATCTTAAAATGTGGCAGTCAGTGGAAGAATATGAAAAAGGCCAATCAAATCCAGGTAAGTTCCAAAGATTAACGAATTTCTGAGAGCCGTCCTAGAGTACTTATCCCCCAAAATATCCTACCTCCATATGTAGAGGAAATTAGTATCTTTCGAGATGATATTCTTTATTGGATGCTTATTTCGTTTGTACATTTCTTCCTTCGTTTCGTTGGGATTTTTATAACACGAACGTCCACCCTTCCCCATTAACATCACTCTTTAGGGATCATTAGGGATTTATATTATTCCCAATCAGGGCTGGGATGATATGTTTATTTATTAACAGTTCTTAAAATATACTAAAAGTCAACAGTTGTTTATAAAATATTCAATAAATTTAATATGTCTGCCTCGTCTCCCCCTCTCATAACATCACAAACCATATTTCCCCCCAATAGTACAAAACAGTGTATGTGTGCGTGTCACAATGTCCATTAACACATTTCATCGTTTATGTGCAACTTTTTCATACGAAATCAAAAACTTTGAATTAAATTTTCATAAATAAGTTGACAAGGGCCAGGCCAAGCTCCTCAAGACGTCGAACCGTTAAGCCCCCCATCCAGCAATCTATCTAAATATAGCCAATTATAAAAGTTTACACAAATAATAAATACAATTTATATACTTTTCAGTTCATGTATTTCAGTTTATAGTTTATATTGAGAGTTTGTTGGTTCACATGACCGAATGGCTGACTGAATAACTGACTGCCCATCACCACAGCCTTTTCTGGCGGCGAATGTCAAGGAATATAAAAATTTCCACTCTCAAATGTTTATTGCCTCCGCAAGTAAAAAAAAAAAAAATTTTATGGTTTTGACATCCGCCCGAATTGGCGTTGGTCTATGATGACAAACTTTTAATTGAAATTACAAAGTTTCCGTTTTATGCGTACGTACGTACGTCCATACACTTTTGTAAATTCTGATAATGGAATGTGTGCTGTTGTTGTGAGCATTGAGGTTGTGCTAAAGGAGAAATGATTTTTGGATGTGCGTGTGTGTGTGGGTGTAAAAGAAAGAAAATGAATTTTCACCATGACGGTTGCAAGCCTTTAAATTGAGTAAACAAGAAATTTAATATTTTATCGATTGCCAGTCATATCGCGAAAAAGATTAAACATTGATAGAAGTATATGAAAGTGGTTGGCAATGTTTATGATCAATTTGTTGCATACTTTTGGGGGTATTATGGTAATTATTGGGCATTTACACTACATAATAAAAGTATGGGTCACTTGTTATTATTTAATAATTTAACCTAATAACAGCTCCTTAAAATGTTATTATTAAAAAGCCACGCCTACAACAGTCATTAAAATAAAAATTATTTAATCTTGAAAAAATCCTCACCTATAATAGTCCATGGTGTTGCGTAGGGGATGATATATACCAAGCAACTGCTCTGATTGGCTTTAAGCCCAGGCTTATCTTGGTCCCTCTTTCATCTCTATTGTGGACACTGACCTCCCCGCGGTGTCACCTGGGGTAGATATTTTCAGCACCCGTAGAAATAGTGAACTGATATGTGCCGCGATTTCTCCCATAAGAATTATAAAAAAATGGGTTGAGGCGTCGGTATAGTATAGTTGCCCACTCTCGGAAAACCCCTCCTACTATGAAAAAGCAAAGAAAAAGAAAACCATACACACTAATGTTTACGATCCCCGCAAACGTATAAAGGACCACGATCTGCATTTGGAATGTGCACACGTTGTACAGAAGAGACACTGTTTTCGCTTTGGCGGATATATTATTGCCTTACAGAAAATGCGATGGAAAGGAACAGGCGTAAGTGAATCAGACTATTACGCACTGTATTACAGCTGCCATGAATTTGACTACTGATTTATGGTTAACAGGAAAATAAAAGACCTCGTTTCCAGATTATCTCCAGTAGATGAGCGAATTGCTATAATCCTTATAAAAGCAAAGGTCTTCTACATCAGCCCATGCTCCGGCCGAAGACAATGATGAGCAGACCAAAGACATGTTTTACGAGCGCCTAGCAACAGCATATGATCGCTGCCCTGGCCATGACATTAAAATTCTGCTACGAGATTTTAAAAATCGGAAGGGAAAATATCTTTGGCCCCACCGTCGGAAAATTCAGCCTTCATGAAGAACCATCAGAACAACGGCATGAGGTTGATTGACTTCGCGGCAGCAAAAACATGATAGTTAGCAGCACCAGATTCAAGCATCTCGATATACACAAGGCCACTTGGATTTCTCAAGATCGAACAACGAGAAATAAAATCGATCATGTTGTGATATACGGAAGGCATTCATCCAGTGTTTTAGACGTCCGAACGATCCGGGGAGCGAATATCGATTCGGACCACTACCTTGTAGCAGCCAAGGTTCGCACTCGTCTTAATATTGCAGAAAAGGTGCGATCTAACACAACACGGAAACTCGACGTCGAAAAGCTGCAAACACAACAGGTAGCCGCTCAACTTACTCGCATGCTTGACGAAAGCACTTCTTGTCCCGATAATAGTATAAGACCAAACTGGTAAAGAATTGCCCACTCCCTACAAACTGCAGCGGAAAAACAATACTTGGATACCAAAAACCACCATCAAGAAATCCATGGTACGATCAGGAGTGTCGTAATGCTACTGATGTGAAAAACGCAGAGTATAGGGCAATCCTGTAGACATTAGCAACACGTAACGTGATGGAGAATTATCGGGAGGAAAGGAGAGAGGAAAAACGTATTTTTAGAAATAAGAAGAAAGAAGAAGAAAAACGTGAGCGTGAGCAAATCGAGATGTACAGGAGTCAGAATGAAGTCCGGAAATTTTACCAATGTGTAAAACACCAAACCGAAGGCTTTGGTGCAGGCACATCCTCGTGTAGAGATTAAAAAGGATATCTGGTGACAGATACAGACAGCGTGTTGAGGATCTGGAAGGAGCATTTCGAAAAGCTTCTGGTATCAAATAGTGTCGGTGAAGAAGATACCCCAGCACCAATAAGAGATGACGGTATAGACGGTATACCTCCTAGCCAAGATGAGATCAGAATAGCAATCAATCGACTGGAGAATAATAAAGCAGCAGGAGCGAACTATTCAATACTGGTGGTCAAATGCTGGTTAGGGTTATGCACCAGCTGATTAGTACAATTTGGCTAGAGGAATGCATGCCCAATGATTGGAACCTCAGCATTCTGTGTGGCACAAGGTCAGCAGTTAAAGTCGGAAAGGACCTATCGGAGCCCGGTCAGACCAAACTCACACTTTACAAGACGCCGATACTGTTATAATGATCTGAAACAAAGTACTTGTGCAAGCAGATGAGGTAGCTCTTGGGGTGATTGAAAGAAAAATTCTCCGAAAAATCGACGGGTCGATCTGCATCGATGGTGAATACAGGCGTCGAACGCTGCACCTCAATACGACATAGTCAGTCATATTGAGCTGTAGCGACTACGGTGGGTAGGCCATGTTGTGCGAACGAATGAGAAGTCCCAGCTCAAAAGGCATATAAAAGCGAGCCCACTGATGGTTGACGCAGAAGGGGAAGGACACGAATTAGGTGGAAAGACCAAGTAGAAGACAACATCTTGGAACGTGGTCTTCCAAATTGGATGAGATGCGCACAATACCGACGCGCTTGGTAATCTTTTTTAAGCCCGGCTTATGGAGCAACCATTCTGTAACAGCTAAGTAAGTATAATGGTCCATGAAAATATATTATTTATAAATCCTATCCTATAATAACCCTTTAAAATATAATATTTAAAATATATACGCCTCTAATAGTCTATAAAATATCCACGCCCTACGTTTAACCCTATTTGCATGCATACACATTTCTTAAAAATTCAGTTAAAATATGTATTAAAAGACAAAACAAGCATATATTTCCCTTGCAATTCCACTAAAAAAATATCCTTACATTGTACCATACACGTAAGCTATCACACGAGTAAACTGTCTTTTGCTCTATTGTCAAATAGAATTGCCAAAATTACATTGTGTTCAATTCAATGTTGGACAAATGTTATTCTTTTCGACCAACAACAACGACATAGGTACTAAGCCTATTTTCTCTCCTCCAAACAACAATGGAACAAATCCGATTTTCTGCTTGGAAAATTTGTTCTATGACCGATAACAAAACCTCGTCATCAGCCTCAAATCAACTAAAGACAACACATTGGCTGAATGAAAGTATTTCAGGGTAAATCTTATCTGTCACAGTAACAGTGGAGGTTCACACCAAAGCCAAACAAACACACATTGCTATGACACTGACGATGTTCAAATTGGTAATAACAAATGTCATAAGCTTTGTTGTAATTACCTTATGTTGAACAAGTATGGCGTTTAATGAATAATGAATTGCCTCAGAAGCAATTCAGCAGCTTGTTAAGCATGAATGCATGATAAATTGTGTTTGAAATCAATTAAAAAAAAAAAGAAAGTTGATAGAAGGAAGATGTATTTCAATTTGGTAAAAGTATTAAATTTCAATGATAAAACACCGAAGGGGGTGTTTCATGACTATTTTTATCTATATTCCGATAAGAATAGTGGAGTGAAATTATATTAAATTTCAAGAGAAATTAAGAAGGTTCTTTAACAAAGTGATGATGGAATGACCTTGAATAGAAAAGAAAAACTCCAAATAAAATTCTTAGTAATATTATTTTTATTATAGGCTCAGATTTTTTCTATGGTTATTATAGGCGTGGATTTTTTTAAACATTTATTTGTCCAGGGTCTGTTATTGACGTGGTTTTTATCAAAAATTTTTTCAATGGCTATTAAGGCCGGATTTTTTTAATAATAATTTCTATGACTTTCAATGACTATTAATAATAATTTTTTTATATGTATGGGTTATTTTATAATAATTTTTTCGGCGGCTATTATAGGTGTGGATCTGTTAAGACTCTGGGGATTTCATAATTGTTTATTATAATTTTTAAGAAAATTAGCCTTATGACTAATGAGGGCATATTCACTTTGATACAGTCTATATTCAGTGGTAAAATTTCAACATTTATAAATCCATTATCAGGCGAATACAATGTCCGATTTGAACCAAACTTTGTAAAACCCATAATCTTTACCAAGCCGAAGTTGGGACCCGTCGGTCCTCTCCTTCTGGCACCTCCTCCACAAAGGGTCAATATTTTATAAACTTGTAAATATAATTTAAGGGCCCCCCATTCTCGGTGTCAATTTTTTTTTAGTTTTTCGAATCTACACTTACTTACTTACGGCTTATGGAACGAAAGTTCTGTGACAGAACTTTCGTTCCATAAGCCGAGCTTAAAATGGATTTCCAGCCGCGTCGGCCTTTTGCGCAGTTTTTCTAATGTTCGGACCATGTTCCATCTTATTCGTGGCCTTTCCCTTCTGCATGAACTATCAGCTGGTTCGCTTTTATATGCCTTCTGGGCTGTGGCATCTTCATCCATTCTCACAACATGACCTACCCAACGTAGTCGCTGCAGCTCAAAACGTCTAACAATGTCGATGTCCGAGAATAGCTGGTACAATTAATGGTTCATTCGACGGCGATATTCACCGTCGACGCATATCGTCCCATAGATCTTTCGTAGAATTTTTCTTTCAAACTCTTCAAGAGCTGCCTCATCTGCTTGCGCGAGTACCCATGCTTAAAGTCCATATAACAACACGGGTAGTATCAGCGTCTTGTAAATTGTGAGTTTGGTCTGGCGGGAGGTGACCTTGCTTTTGATTTGTTTGCTCAGACTATAGTAGCATCTGTTGGCCATCACTATCCTTCTCGGAATTTCAAAACTGCTGTCATTGGCTTTGTTTATGGCGGTACAAAGGTATATAAAATCTTTGACTACCTCGAAGCTGCAGTTCCTCAAGTTCCACAGTTGGTCCGAGTCTACTGGACGTCTTGCGGGTTGATACCATCAGCTTGATCTTCTCGCCATTTACTGCTAGATCCACTTTGGGAGACTCCTTATCAATTTCTTCAAAGGAGGCAGTTACCGCTCGTAATGATCAACCCATTATGTCGATGTCGTCGGCATAGGCTAGTAACATATGCTGTTTAGTGTACAGAATACCATTTCTTTTCACCTTTGCCTCTCGTATGACCTTTTCCAGCAAAATGTTAAAAATATCACACGACAAATTGCCACCTTGTCTGAATCCTCGTTCGGTATTGAAGGGCCCCGATAGGTCTTTTCCGACTTTAACTGCTGATCTTGTGCTTCTTAATGTTATCCTGCATATCCGTAATAATTTTGCAGGAATGCCGAACGCTGACATGCCCTTAAATAACTCTGAGCGTATTGGGCTATCTAATCCGGCTTTATAGTCGACGAATAGGCGGAATGTGTCAATGTGTTTTTCATAGATCTTTTCCAGGATTTGGCGCAGAGTGAAATTCTGGTCAATGGTGGATTTGCCAGGTCTGAAGCCGCATTGGTATGGTCCAATAATGTCATTGACCATTGGCTTCAGTCATTCACCCAGTACGCTGGATAGCACTGTATATATACGATGGGAAGGAGACTTATTTCTCTATTGTTGGCACATATCGTCTTGTCTCCTTTTTTGTGCGCGGGACACAGAATGCTGAGGTTGCAATCATTGGTATGTGTTTTACTCCTTGGTAAAATTTCCGGACTGTATTCCGACTCCTGTACATCTCGATTTCCTCACGCTCAAATTTTTCATGTACTTTCTTCTTTTTCTGAAAATATGTTTCTCTTCTCCCGATAATTCTCTCTCGCATTACGTGTTGCTACTGTCTGCAGGGTTGCCCTATACGCTGCGTTTTTCAGTAGCATTATGACACTCCATATCGTACCAGAGTTGCCCTATACGCTGCTGTTTGCAGGGTTGCCCTATACGCTGCTTTTTTAGCCTCAGTAGCATTATGACACTCCTGATCGTACCATGGGTTTATTGATGTTTGTCTTTGGTACCCAAGTGTTGCTTTTGTCGGGACAATGAGTGCTTTCGTCAAGCAGGTGGTTGAGTTGAGCGGAATAGACTTCTACTAGTGTAGCATTATATTTGCAGCTTTTCGACGTCGAGTTTCCGTGTTGTGTTAGATCGCACCATTGCGGCTACATCAATAACCTTAGCTGTTAAAAGGTGATTGTTCGGATCGATCGAACGTCGAAAACACTAGATGAATGCCTTCCGTCCATCACAATATGATCGATTTGATTTTGATAGGGAGAAATCCAGGTAGCCTTGTGTATATCGAGATGCATGAATCTGGTCCTGTAAACTACCATGGTTTTTGCTGCCGCGATGTCAATCATGTCGTCATCTGATGTTTCTTCATAGAGGCTGAATTTTCAAATGGTGGGACCAAAACTTCTTTCTCTCCCTATTTTTGCATTAAAATATCCTAGCAGAATTTTAATGTCATGGCCAGGGCAGCGGTCATATGCTGTTTCTAGGCGCTCGTGAAATATGTATTTGGTCTGTTCATCTTTGTCTTCGATATGAGCTTGGGCACAAATAAGACTAATGTAGATGAACTTCGTTTTTATACGGATTATAGCAACTCGATCATCTACTGGAGTAAATATTGGGACGAGGTCTTTTTTCTTGGTCAAAAATCTCGTCTTGGGGTACTTAGTTTACGATTCAAGAAAATGCCTAACAAATGTTTTAAAAAGGCTCGAAATATAAGGAGGATCGTTTCAAAAAACTGTTCCTCATTCGATGTGTCTGCAAACATGTCATCACAAAAATAAAAATAATAATAGCCGCAAACAAAGATATAAAATTGCTCTTCCTGGATATGGGAGTTACCAACAAAAAATTGATCAGGCGATCTCATTGCAGAGTATATCAGCAAGGGCTTTCATCCCCATGTGGAATTTTACACCCTGCAAAAACCTCCACAGTGTTATTTATGACGTTATTAATTTTTCTTCTCGAGGGTATAAAAAGGTTGACTCTATCAAACTAAACTCCGACCTTTCCCTCTAAAACTATTTGGACTCTAAAAGCTGTAAATCAAACACAATTATGTTATCAATTATTCAATGTTCCGTTTACGATTTCGCTGCTCTGGTATAAAGTAATAATTCAAAATTCTCGCTAAATATAGTTGGGACATTATTTTGGCTTTAAAATTTCAGAAATGTATCTTTCCCATTAACCGAATTTTGAACAAACAAAACACCACTATGGTAATTACTGAAAATTCCCAATTGTTTTTGGAATCCACGGTGTTTTGTGAAGAAACAAAATTTTAATCATCACTAATATTAGTGTGCGTATATTTCCGAACAATGATGATGATGATTAACACAATTAAAAATCAATTTTTGCCTTCTTATCAAATTCCATGAAAAACAATTGAAATTAAAAAACTCAAAAAATAAACGTAGCGGAAACATAAGATTAGATGAAAGTCAATCAGGGAGTACGCGATAGTGGGACACAAAAGCCAAAATTGAATGACAAGAAACTGAATGGAGGAGACAAGTCGACCAGCCAGCCGGCAATCAGTTGATACCACCGGTAGGGAGTCTAGTTCCAAAGAGTTTTGCCATAAAAATCACAAAATCGCATAGTCAAAAAAATGTCAGATAAGTCAAATCTATAATTCGGGTGATGTTGTTGCTATTTCAATATCTTGACTGAGCTCACACTTCAAGTTCATGAAAAGTTATAAAAATAAGTGCTGAGAGGAATTGCAAAACAGTTGGTATTTTGAAACGTATTAAAAAACAGTTGTCGATTTTTTTTTCGTCACGTTACACAGAAAAGGGCTATATCATGATTAAAGGTGTGTGAGTGAGAATAACATCTGAAACAAGTGGCCTTTCAATAATCAAAATTAATTTTTGGATTTTATAGTTACTCTGCTTTTGGGCAGCCTTTTGGTCTTAACTGCCGCCGCTGCTGTTGTCAAAATTAACGAACGCAATGTGGTCCAAGGTTGTAAATCGGAAAATGAACTCTGGGGCTCGGATGATGGTACAAAATTCTACTTCTGCTTGGGTGACAATATGGCCTTGGAACAGGATTGTGATCCTGGTACCTTCTTTGTGAAAAATGCCACAGTGTCGGGTTGTGTTCCCGTCGATTTGGTGGATGACAAGTGTATTTATCACACGGAACCACCATCCTGTATTGGTGAAAGTGTAACACAACCTCAACCACATGAAGACCCTACGAAATTCTATTTGTGCCCCGCCAGTGGTGCTGAACCCCTTGTCTTATCGTGTACGGATAATAAGGCCTTCGTCAGTCAAGATGGTTACTTGGGATGTTTCGATTGGACACAGTGGCGTCAAATTCGTGGTTGTGTTAATGATGAGTGAATTTAAAAGTATTTTTTCTTCTGAAAAAAAATTGATAAAAAATAAATGCAAAGTGGTTTAATTGAAATTCGTAATAAGTTCCTAAATAAGTTAAATATTTTTCATTGTGGGAGAATGATACGTGTATATGTCGGCAATGTCGTAAATATGCCAAGCAAAATAATCTGAATTTGGAAAATTGTTGTAAACCGAAACTGTGTTAGATTATGAAAAATGATCTTGACTGAATACAATATTAATTTCAATAAAAAATATTGAAATTTAGGGGTCATTGTTTTGTATTTGCGATACACTTTTTCTGAAATTATTTCTGAATACCAAAAAAATATTAAAAAAAAAATTTTAACATTTTTTTTATTAAAAAATTTATTAAATTTTTCAATTAATTTCTTATGAAGAGAAATCTTGATTTTTTAGACTTCGAAAAAAATATGAAAACAAATCTGTTATTATTGTTTATACCTGTCCTAATCTTACGTATGTTTCACTTTTTTCTCCGATGATTATTTTTTTGTTATTGTCCATCAAATTGGTTTCTTATCTTGACAAAATTCAAAAGGCAAGAAGGTTTCGAGACTAATCATTTTCTGTTCAAAACATTCCGTTGCGATTAGCTCAATACGATTGGTTTAATTTGGAGATAATTGTTTTTTACACCTTTTTCAGTTCACAACCCAATGCGTATTTTAGTGGGGAAGGGGTGACATGTGTCGTTGACGTTTTACGTCAGATGTCGGGTTTCGAAGGTTCGAATATAAATTGCAAATAAAATTTGATTTTATAATGTCTATAAATATAAAATTATAACATTTTCAGCGCCACTATGTGCGTAATTTATGAAGAAATGGATTTGGTTTCGACTAAAAACATATAAACAAATGTGTTATTACCAGGGTAGTAGGTTTCAAAAGTTCAGTGGGTGTAACGATTGAAAAATATTGTTAAGATCTTAAAAACTGGGAATTACGCTACTTCCGATATATAGATTAAAAAAGATGCCGACAGATATATATCCTCAGTCTATGGTTTGAGGCGGTCTTCGGAATTACACACATGTTTTTATCAACGAAATTTCGGATTTAATATTGATTACAACGGTTATTAAAATCTCTTCAAATTAAATTCATAAATTTATAAAATATTGACCCTTTGCGGGGGAAGTACCAGATTAAGTGGACCAATGGATCCCATCTTAGGTCTTGATCTAGGTTGTGCATGTTTTGTTTCAAATCGGACATTCCATTCGCCTGATATTAGATTTGTAAGTATTGCAATTGTTTACCATATGTGGGGAAGGTACAAAAAATAGTGGACCGATATTCCCCATCTTCGAACTTGAACTAAGTTTGGAAGAAATACTACAATGTGCAAAGCTTGGGTGAAATTGGTTTATCGGCCAGACAGTCGGATGGACATTTGTAAATCGACTCCAAATTGTGTGAAACTGGTTTGGTCCAAAGAAACATGGGGTTTTGCCGTATCAACTTGTATGTAGAGTCAGTTTATAAATGTCTGTCTTTCGGGTGCGCACGATAACTCTCAAAGGGATGGACAATATCGGTCCAATCTTCCTCCTCCACAAAATGTCAACATTTTGCTGAAAATTTTTAAATTGTACCAAATTTAGTGTCCAACACACCTACAGCGATCCTAACTCCAAATTTCAAGATTCCAGCTCTATAAGTTCAACCAAATCCAAATTTGGTACCATATAGTACACATTAGTACGAATTTCCAAAATTTTCTACATACACCAATCCCACACCCAAACAATGATCCCATCGTAAAATTTTAAGATTCCAACTATATCGGTTCATCCAAATCCAAACTGCACCAATTGTAGTACTTTTCGTACACGTAAGTAGAAATTTTCCAGAACTACGTACATATCCCAATCCTACATTCCGAGGGTAATATTAATTTCAAATTTAAGAATTCCAGCTCCATTTGTACCTCTAATTTAAATTTTTTCTAAATATAGTACTTTTCGTATATCCTTATTTCGACCCTACTTCTCAATCTTAATTCGCATTTCAAAATTCAAGTTTTTAGATCTTTCAATTCACATGCTACGAAATTGTACCAAATTTTAAACATTGTAGTACTTTTCGGATATTTATAGTTCGAATGTCCAAATAAATTCTACTCTCCATCAGTGACCTTCATTTAAAATTTAAGAGTTGAAGTCCGAAAATCCAAGCTCTACACATCGTAGTATTTTTAACTAATTTAATTTATTTGGTAACTCCCCCACAAAGGTCTAACATTTTGAAAAGCGAATAAATTGTCCGATTTTATCCCAACATTGCAAATTTTAATTTTTTTTATCAAGGGATGGCAATAATCGCTTCTGGTATTTCCTCACAAATCTAGTATTTTCTCATTTGAAATGTAAATTTCATTTGAAGCCAATGATCCAGTGATTGGAAGTTGGGACATATATCTAATATAAAGCGACTAGTAAATACTGTGCGGTCCAAAAATGGCAGACCTTAATATTTATTAATATTTATGCTAAATATATATTGAACATAGAAGAAGACGAAGGAAACCTGGTGACAGATACTGACAGCGTGATAAGGATCTGAAAGGAGCAATAGCTTCTGGTGGAGGTGAAGAAGATAGCCCAGAACCAATATGAAATGACGGTATAAAATGTATACATCCTAGCCAAGATGATGTCAGAATATCAATAAATCGGCTGAAGAATAATAAAGCAGCAGGTGCCGATGGGTTACAAGCCGAACTATTCAAGACTGGTGTCCTTCAGATGCTGGTCAGGAGCATGCACTAGCTGATTAGTACAATTAGGCTATAGGAAAGCATGCCCAATGATTGGAACCTCAGCATCCTGTGTCCCGTGCACAAACCAGTAAGGAAAGTAGTAAAGTCGGACTGGGCCAACTATATGATACCCTTCACCACTTTGAGTATATTGTATGTATACCTACAATTGCATGTTAATTATCGCTCGAAGGAACATGCCAAAATTTGGAGGACCATTTACATTAAATCGGACGAAAATATATATGGGAGCTATATCTAAATCTGGACCGATTTTCAGGAAACTTAACACACATTATTCTGGAACTAATTCAGTACGATATGCCAAATTTCGTGCAAATCGAAACATAGATAGGGACATTGGTGCCCCATTTACCTTAAATCGGACGAAAATATATATGGGAGCTATATATAAATCTAAGACATAATACCCTGTACCACAGTATGGTGAAGGGTATAAAAAGGCAACAAGACGATATGTGCTAACTATAGAGAAGTAAGTCTCCTTCCTATCTCTTATAAAGTGCTATCCACCGTGCTGTGCATAAGACTAAAGCCAATGGTCAATGACATTATTGGATTATACCAATGCGGCTTCAGGCCAAATCCTGGAGGCGTTCAGAGGTGTTTAAAGTCATGTCTGTGTTCGGCATTCCTGCAAAATTAAAAGGTTATGCGGTATAACTTTTAAGTGGCACAAGGTTAGAAGTTAATGTCGGAAAAGACCTCTCGGATCCCTTCAATACCGAACGAGGGTTCAGGCCAGGTGACAGTTTGTTGTGTGACCTGTTTAACATCCTGCTGGAAAAGGTCATACGAAATGCAAATGTGACCAGAAATGGCACTCTGTAAACCAAACAACACATGTTACTTGCCTACGCTGATGACATCGCTATAATGGGTCGAACATTGCGAGCGGTAACAGCCACCTTTGAACGAATCGAGAAGGAACCGGCCAATGTGGGACTGGCAGTGAATGGCGAGAAGACCAATCTGATGGTATCAACGCGTCCAGTAGACTCGGACCAACTGTGGAACTTGAGAACTACAGGTTCGAAGTAGTCAACGATTTTATATACCTTGGTACCGCCATAAATAAAACTAATGACATAAATTTTGAAATTCGGAGGAGAATAGTGTTGGCCAACAGATGCTACTATGGCAAGCAATTTATCAGACCAAACTCACTTTACAATACGCTGATACTACACCGTGCTGTTATATGGATATTTAAGCATGGATACTTGCGCTAGAAGATGAGACAGCTCTTGGAGTGTTTGGGAAAAAAAATTCTCCGAAAAATCTATGGGCCGATCTACGTTGACGGTAAATATCGCCGTCGAATGAACCAATAGTTGTAACATCTATTTTCGGACATTGGCATTGTCAGACGTATTGAGCTTCAGCGACTGCGTTGGCTAGGTCGTGTTTTGCGAATAGATGAGAATGCTCCAGCTCAGAAGGCATATAAAAGCTAGCCAACTGATGGTTCACGCAGAAGGAGATGGTCAGGAATTAGATGGAAAGATCATCAAGTGGAAGATAGCATTTTGAAACATGGTCTTTCAAATTGGAAGAGCAAAGCCAAAGCGCCTGGAAATCTATTTGTAAGCTCGACGTATGGAACAAATGGTCAGTCATTAACGAGCTAATTGAGTAAGTAAGTGAAGAGTGATTCTCAACGTTGTTCCCTTAAATGTAATTATCAGTTATATATGTCCATTATCTCTGGTACCTCCCCCAAAATGATAGACAGTCATTCCGTAGACCTCCGCAAACCATAGGCTTGGGATATATATTTGTCGGCAACACCGATTGGCACTTTTCTATTAAATGATAATGTATCGAAAAGCCTCAAAATCCATTATAAATATATAATCACTTTATTAAATAGTTGATTAGAATCCTATTGTAATTAATATTTAGGAAGATACTAGGTTATCTGTACAACCGTACATACAACTCTTGTTAGCTTTATATCAACGTTTCGTCTTTTGTTTATTTGATAACTCATTTTATCATTGCAAATACTTTTTAGGTATTTTAAAAGTTATTTAACGATACGTTGAGTTCACAAATGTGGACTACTACTTATTTTTTTATATCAATAGAAAATACCCTGCGTCCACATATGCTCTACCATAAAACCCTCCCATTTAGTTTAAACTTTCCAAAAAAATTACATAAATTACAATAGGAAATAATGGAATGGATTG